TGACAATTATTCCCTGTCTTCTAGCACTTTTTATAACGGTCTAACCTAACTCAGCAAAACAAGAACTTTTTTCTGTCTTGACACAATGCAATGGTCAGCTTTGCAATAGATTAAATCGCAGTATTCTTTTATCTGAAGATATGATTAAAAATTATTGAACCTTTCATATTTTGAATAAATGAATTAAACATGCATAAGATTTGAAAATTTTCTCTGATATATTGCATTTTATTAATCTTTTGTGACAACTATTAGTCATATAAATTTGCATAATTAGAAAGATGCTTGCAAAAATCAGAAGATATAAAATGTTGAACAACGGGCTGACTTATCTTTTACTCATTTATTCTGCGATCTGTGCTGCGTCGGACGCTAACATATATATATATAGTAATAAACCAGTGATAAATCCAAATTTCTACTAAGTTTACTGCAGAGTACTTGCAAAGCTATCTTTACATAGTCTTTTGGCTGTTATGAAAAAGTATTATATTTATGTGTTATTTTTTGCAAGATAATATTCGCAAATGGTTTTTCAAGTTGAATTTTAATACCTTTTTGATAAGCAAAGAATTAGGGAAGCATCTCAATAACTGTGTAAAGTTTGTCAAGTATGGCGTATTTAATTTTCAGCTTCCATCAAAGAATCCTTTTGCTTGCAAATCTGATTACTTTGAGTGAAGAGCTCTTCTGCTATTCGGGAGTTAGAACTAAAATAAGTCTAGAAAGATGCGATAATGATACCAAGTTTTGCTACAAACAAAGGACTCCGAATAATATTGGGGTGAATGCTTATTTATGATTAATTTTAATTAACCGAAGAACGAATCTCATTAAATTTTCAAAAATGCTTGATTTTATTAACCCAATCTCTTTATGTGTGCTTATGCTTATCGCAGTTATTCAGCATGATAGTTGGTGAGAATTTTGTATTCACGCTTTCTGTCCCATCACAAGCTGTACAAGAATTTTAACTTGTATCAAATACTTGCTTGCCATTTATGGACAGACAAATGCTAGATTGTAGAGGTTTCAGTCCTTGTGCTAGTCTTGCTCAAAATTGCAAATCATAACAGATAGTGGGTTGTGACCATAGTACGCTGGGCTTGTGCCGGAAGTATAAACGCGAAGAGTGTTTAGAATCAAGCACTCAGGGGGAAGTGTGTTGCTGTCGAACATCGAAATGCAATGGAGTGGAGCAACAATATTCGCAATCTTTCCATTTGATTGCTTTATTAATACTGATTACTGCTGGCAACTACTTTTTGAACTTTGTGTTCAACTAGAAGATACGTCAATAATATCTATTTGTAATAAATTAAGAACCTATAACGTCATAGCAGACACGAGTTCACGTAATAGAAAATCCAATTCAGTAGATAAATTCATTTGAAAATGCAGTTATGTCAAGAAGCATAAAAGTGATACAAATAGACCGAGCTGATGCATTGTTATTCACTAAAAGATTATTTGCAAACTTCATGTTGTACTAGTGCTGTGCACCAAAAAAAGACGACTTCGAGTCAGATAATTAAACCTACCACGAAGTTTCACGCTAAAGTTATGAAGAAACGTAATCAGTTAACATCTTGATGACCTTTGATCTGATATCTTGTAGACAGTCAACTTATCACAGTTTCTCAAAAAAATAATAATTTTAATTTTTTCGTACAGTTATTAAGTAAACAATGAAGCTGTGTGACGAAACTCAAATTAACTGAAATATTTTAATTGTATTAGAAAAGTTCTTATAATTATCAGACTCGATCACCAAATATAATATGGCAATTTTATGAGTAATAACGTTAGCCTCGAAACAATCCTAGGTCAGAAATTATGCCAGAAATATTTTACTTTTAATGAATGGTTTAAGTCAACTGCTTGACTGAAACGAATTTGTTTTCCCAGAAACCGAACCCAAAATCTGTGCAAGTCATTTGATACAATTCAATTTCGAAGAGAAGCTTTTCTCTGATTCTCAAAGCATATTAAAACTGAGCAACTTTTTTCGCTTCTAGGGAAAAATAAAGTGGTTTAAATTATATTGAGTGCTAATTATTACTGTCAGTTTCTGCTTTTTATTAATCTGTAGATCATACGCATTACGGAAAGATTAAAATCGCGTAAAGAACGCGATCATTTGAAGATGCGCATAAAATCTCTACAGAATATCAGCATAAAATAACATCCCACAGCCAATTAAAGTCATGAAATTATTACTGCACCTATAGCAGTGTGAGCTGTTCCGATCTATTTATAAATTTTATTAGTTCGTGGAAAACAAAGAAGCAACTAAAATATAATTCTTAAATCTAATTAAAACAACAAGGTATATTAATAAAAACCATATTTGGTATAGTCTTCTATACAAAGTTCAAACTTTGGTAACGATTAAAAGCATTGCTATGAGCTAAAAAGCAACAAAAAGCTTAGTCATAATGGAAACTCAAATACCACTAGTACAGAAACCGTTATAATTTTCTTCTAGTGATCAGTAGTCAGTGAAAAAGATAGATAGATATGTAAGGAATGAAAAAGTTCCTTCAAAAAATTCAGAATCGAAACATCACATTATGGAACTAAATTCCGTGTTGACTCATGAAAGGCTTGAATTCTTCTTGAAAATGCAAATTTTTATTCTGCAATACAGAAAGCAATCAGTAAAAATACTAGTTTTTCCTTGGTTCATGGTTTAGGAAATATCATTCCAATTTCAGGTAGTACATGTCATAAAGAATATCAGCTTGCAGGAACTCCATAGATCAGTGGATACTGATCGTGTTTTCGTGTAATCTTCTGAAGCATGAATTCAGCTAGCCATTAGCTTGAAATCTGAATAAAACTATGACTTTGATAATTTTGCGTACAATAGCTAAAATTTCACAATAACTTTCAAGTAGTGCGACAAACGTGATAATATGGTAATGCAATAAAATATATGCATTATTCATCAAGTCAGATCATGATTCACTTCTGGTACCGAACGTGACTACTGGTCTTAACAAATCCCAAAAATTTATTGATCAGTTACAGCTCTGCAGTTTATACACATTCTTTCATGATAAAAATCTCGATTACATTGGTAGTGCTGCACTTGGAAATTATTTCCAGAAAATTGCAGCCGGTGAAATCTAACCAAAGGTGTCCGTAGAGCTGAGACGTATCACTCGTATGTAATCAAGGGCACTATGTTGAACATGAAATCGAACATGAGCAGCAAAACCTCGCCATGCCTTTTCAAAGTATACTTGTTCTTTTGGTTGCTGAAAGTGTATTTCAACCCAAGTACTAATTTTCAGCAGGCATTTTCAAAAAACTTAATTAGCAGCAAACAAACCTTCAAAATACGAACGTACTGCGCATACACTGGCTTGATGATGATCGCATCGATGTTTGCAATCGCATCGATGTTTGCAACACTAACTGTGCCTGCACCAAATTCTGCCTCACTTTTTTGCTTCGTTTTCGCTGCTGCAGTAGAAAAGTTTGTATTAAAAGAGGATTCATGATTTTCTAAAATGAAAAATACTTATATTAATTCATATTAATTTAAACATTAAATTAATTTAAAAATCTTTGTAGAACATTCATTATAAGTTTTTTCTTTCAATGATTCTAGATTTAGTATTTAAAAGTCGTATACATACAAAAACATGAGAATTCTACCATGTTCTGTTCCAGATTATATTTGTACTACATGCAGCTCTTAGAATAATCAAACCTGGGGAACTGTTTGCAAACGACTCACACTCACTTCTAGTTTCCATAGATAAGCACACGTTCTGACCCTTCACATCCTTACATGCCTGAATTATTTCAAAATGAGAATTCGTAGTAATCGGTTATTTTTTTATAAGGATGAATGTCCATAATACCCAGTACTCCTTGAAAGTTTCATCAGCTGTAAGCCTCATCGCCATCTCGAACACTTCATTAGTGTACAATAAGGTAGGAGGTTAGACGTGACACTATATATACAACCGCCTCGAGAACTGAATCAAATTAAATCACCCAAACTAACGCTAAAGTACTGTACAATACATCCATAATTAACACAGCCTCTCATCTAAAAACAACTCAATCCCAACTTCATACACCAAAGTGCCACCTGTAGTCAGAACGAACCTCGATGTTAAGTGGAACAACACTCCTAAACTTCTAGCCAGCCCCTTCATCATTTACGAACTTTTTTATGTGATGCGACACAAGCAATATAGATACTTTATTCAAAAAATGCAAATGCTTCATACCAATAAGTCAATGAAAAAAAAAAACAATCAATTAGATTTTTTTTAAAACGAATTCATTTTGAAAGAACGAGTATAACAAAATGCGATGATTTATTTGTTTTTTAGTTCACCACTTCTGATTTCGGGCTAGAAGTTTCCATTGCTCCCGCTTCCGTGTCTTCATTCAATTCAACCTAAATGGAGAAAACAATTTCCTAATCAATAATTCATATTTGTTGAAAGGAAATCCAAAACTTCATTTACATTTAGACTATACCCTGTCTTTAGCAGCAAATTTCTCAAACATCCCTTTATATCGTTTCTTCTCCAGATTACGAATCTCCACCACTTTCTTCTTACACTCGATTATCTTCGCTGCAGCTGCCTGAGAGTAGCGTGTTATGAAACAAAAGATTAATTAAAATAACCTAAATAAAATACATGGAAGATACTGAATGCCAAACCTTATTATCCGGTTCATAATCTAACACCTTCTTGTACACTGCAATTGCCTCGTCAGCATCGTTTTGCTCTTGCAATGCCTGAAAGTCCAAATGAAACTGCATTCGCAAAGAGTTGAACTATAACGATCATGGATTCTGTAGCAACGATAACTAAAAGTATAATTTTTAAACTAGTTCAACTTCACCAACAATTACCAAAGCCTTTCGATACAGTGCTTTAATACATTTCGGATCAACTTCGAGAGCCTTGTCGCAAAGCTTTATACACTCCACTGTCTCATTTTGCTTCGAACAAACAAGAGCGCTAAATAACCGAAATCGTGGATCGTAAATGAAATTAAATGCAAAATATTTTTAAATAAGTGCAAAATTGAAAAATGAAAATAACTACTGCCTTTTTTTTTTAGTAAATGTAAGCATATAACAAGTAGTTCATTATAACAACATTAGTAGCTTTGAAAAATATAAAAAAAAAAACAACAAAAACCTGTTCAGATAACCAGCGAGCAGCAACGCATTCCGTCTATTTTTAGCTTCATTTTCCAGTGAATTTTCATATTCTAACAGCTCAATAACGCGCAAATACTTCGCATTTGCGAGGCGAAGTTTACCTTGCTTGAGAAACATGGTACCTCGCTCTTTAGCTGCCTCTGCAGCATCAAGCTTTTCATCACCAGTTAATTCCCATGAGGCCTTCATCTAAAGAAACTGCGTTTAAATAAATACAGTAACCAAATATTTGTAACACTCAAATAGTATTGTCAAGCTGACAGCTTTAAATCGAAGCAACTGATGTGCTTCAAAGATCCAAAGATCTTCATAAGAATCAGTAAAAAAACAATTGCAAATAAAGATGAGACCGAGTCTTTTACCTTTTCATATTCTTTAAGAAACAATGTAAAATCAATTTCGGCATTGACTGGCAAATTATACTCAGGTGGCGGGTTGGCACCATATGTGAAACGATTTCCTTTGAGATGGACTGCAGATTTTTCTCCTTTATTAAATCGACGAAGAGCACGATCGACACCCTCTGGTAAACCAACCTATAAACAATGCTTGAATTAATCAGTTTATAATAATATCTTATACAATTACCGTTAGGAATATCGGGGCATCAGTGAATCGCTTTTGTGAGTTATGATCATTGCACAATTAATAGATGCTTATCCTCGGCCTATTTTCATCATTTGCATTAATTTATCAGTTAATGGAGATAATTTTTCTGAACTCACCTCTGATCCCTCGCCTAATACGAAACTGACTTCTTTGTCATAAAATACTCGGCCATTATATGTACCAACAGCACACACTAAAACGAATGTAGACTTCGACATTCGTAGATTTTATTAAAGTGACCATTTCAGCAACTACCTTTGATATCGTGAGAGAGACAAAATTGCAGCTAATTCGCCTTCTCTAACTACAGTAATTCAGAAACTTCCATGCATTGAAATATGATAGACATGAAAAGATCTGAGACGCAAATTTCATAGCGAGATAAAATTGGTTAGTGCACATTAATCGAGTGTAACCTTTAACGGTCGATCCTTCAGTAGGACTTGAGTATTTTACACCCTCGACAATGAAAGAACGAGTAATTGAGCCATCTCGATCAGGCGAAATATCCTCTCCTTGCCAGCGCAGTAATTCAACCTACAGAATATGATGTTTTTATTCAACCTTGTGAAGATCTGTTGAGGTACATGTGACTCAGCAACAACCACTCACTTCAAACTTGAGAGTAGCGCCACCCGGGATTTTTGGTGGACTACCGTTTCCACCATACGCATAATCAGCTCGGCATATGAGATCACATTTTTCACCCTTCTTCATCGTTGCAACGCCAAGATCCCATCCTTTGATAACCTGACGAATACAATTTCGTAAGTCAGAAAGTAAAACCTAAATTTCTTTAAACTGCGGTAGCAGTACCAACTGATGTCACAAATTACCAAGCTTTCAAAATATTATGTAAATACAATACGTAAAACCTTACTTCTTCTTTTCCCAAAGTAAAGCTAAATGGTTCTTTCCGATCTCGACTTGAATCAAACTGCTCACCACTTTCAAGAGTACCGACATAGTGCACGTATACGGTATCTCCATTCGAAGGACACTGTTCTCCAGTTCCATGCACTAGTATGCGTTTGAGAACTCCCCCATCCTGAAAACTAGCACTTGAAGTTATGAAACAATACATTTCTTCCATCTGCTAAATATGAAACCACAAAACCCAACCTACTAATGGGAATCAAATAAACTTCATGCCCACACTCAGATGCAGTTTATAAACGTCACATAATCAATACAAGCAAGTCTAATACAGTCCTTATTAACTTTCTTTTACAGAAAATCATCCGGAATAAATTATGGATTAAAATAACTCCCATTACAAGAAATAATGATTACTATGTCTAAAAACAAGTGGGTTAAAAATACCTTTCCAGGCGTGATGTCAATTTTTTCTTCCGATATCATTCTACGTGCACTGAAACTCTCATCATTTTACGAAAATAATAAGCAAATTAGTACAGAATCAGAACGCGAAATTAATAGCTCCACTAATTAAGTAAGAATCAAACACCATTCAAAGTACTACTAAATGCATATGAAAGCAATTTGTAGTGCCCACCCCAAAAATGTGATGTACTCGTCTGAAACCAAATAAGATCAAATAAAGCTACATCTTCATGTAACACAAACACAGCTGATCTCCGTTGCAGAACTTAGTGCTTGAATTCAATCTTGCATAAATGTACTGCATTCCTACTGGTTCTACCAGACTTTACACGTTACCCACACAGTCATCCTAAAAACACATCTTAGGTGCTGCCCTTACTACATCAAAAACACAGAACCAGCCTTTCACTGCCCATACTTTGCCATAAATAAAGCCGGATGAATCAAACTCTCCTAATTGCTATGCAATCCATAAAGCTCAATCATACGGCACTTCGACGTGCGATCCTTACGAAAAATTTGTTGTAGTCAGGTACGTAGGTATCAAAGTATTTCAGGAGTGTAGTGTCTTTCTGGGGTGTATTGGACATTTGTATTTTCTTGTTCTATCAGCGAGAACGGAACTAGACCACTGAATGTTTGACATATTTCTTCTTTGAGAACGAAGCTTTTCTAAACTATGCATTAATCAAATTCTTTATGATAATACATTTAATCAGTGTTTTTTAAAGACTGACCAGCTTTTTTAATTGTATTTATATGCAAAGTTTTCGCAAATGTCTGAATGCATTGAGGAGATTCAGAGTGACTTATTGAATCTTTTAAGCGCACATATGCTGGACAAACTGGTTCGCGAAGCAAAATGGTGGAGCGAGACATTCGTTGGTCTTGTTAAGGTTATTGCTAGTCCCAATGCTCCTATTCCTCCAACAGTTATTCACCCACGTCAACCAGCTATAGCATCGACTCCAGCTGAAAGAGTAAGACTTTTCTACTTTTTTGTTCACGTGATAGAAGGAGTGGGAAATGCAGTTGTACGCAAAGTTTTGAATCTAATAATTTGCAAATAAGAATTGTTTCGAATTCAGTTTGCTTCACAAAATCTCATGACGTATCATCATTGTGTTGAACTCTTCTTTTGTCTACAAGCGTTGAAATCAGCAGTGAGAATTGGAAATAGTCGTGCTCTAGGTGGCTTTTATTATTATAAATTAGAGTGAAAAAATAATTTTCATTGGTTCTTTGGATAAAACATGTTCTTGTTTAATTTAGTTCCGATCGTTTCCATTCCGTTGGTGGTGGAAATTGTGTCCATTTAATCGTAATATTGTGATTTGGATGACGATCTTAATTCCGGTGTATGTATTTATGGTTCCGCGTAAGTTTACTACCAATTAGCTTTTTTCAATAAAATGTCGTTTTCGAGTTATTAGTACGTTTGCTTTCGACACCGCAATAATTTTGAATCTTGTAGGGTTCTTGATCTTTAGTATTTAGAATTTTTTTGCAAAGGTTGCAGATATTTACTATACTAGCTTCTACTGCAGGAGAAATTTGGAAAGCCATGATGGTGCATCAGGTTCCTGAGCATATATCTTTACACATTAGACGTGGAAAAGCACAGCGCATACAAGATGAGCTGTATTTTGCGAAATACGATCCTTTTAGGGAGGAAACTCCAGTTGGTATTAGGAAATAATTTGAAAGTTTTATTCTAGTTCTTAATTGTAGTGTACGTCATATAAATATTTGGATATCTCATTTAATTTTATTTAGAACTGCGCTAAAATTGTACGTTAATTTATAGTACATGGCAATAAAGATGTCCGTCTTTTATGTGTGACATATTTTCAGTGAGCAAAATTTTCCAGAAAATGTCATTATTAAGGAATGTAACGTGGGTCAAGTTCATCGCATTAGGAATCTTTGAAATAAAGACGTCTAGGGATAGTGTGCAGTTATGCTTTCCAACCGTGATTGTTTCATATCTGTGGGTTATGACTGTATTCAATTCTTCAGGAAAGGGTTGCTGGAGGGTCGTTTTTTGTGACAAGTAAAAATAACGCCACTGGAGATCTTTATCCAGCCTAACTTTTTTTCTCATGCAACATTTGCATTGAAAATCAGAAAACTGTTCATGAATTCAGCAAAGATGCCGTCATAAAGTAAAGCCGTCGAAACTGTTTGGTTTTTTTTTCTGAGGTGATTGAAGTTGTGAAGACTTGGCAAGATTTGTATCAAAATGGGTAAACATAATCGGTGGTGGTTAATTATTGGTATTGTATTCTTGCTTGGTTTGTGCATTTATTCCTTGTTCAGTGCATACGATCATTTAAATTTTGATGAAGTGGCTGTCTGGAATCAATTTTTGATGAATTAGTGTGCAACAGGTCATTGCCATATGACATTACTATCAAGTTAAGATATTCATTTTAGATTCACACGTCATGCTGTTATGTATTTTTTAAGTGAGTCCTGATTGTCAATGTATGATGAGATAGAAATTTGTTAACGGATGCAGTCTTAATAATAACGAGATTATGCAATGGAACTTTACCAAATATGCAGCAAACAAATAAAAATAAAGTTGGGAGAGTTCGAGGTGGTTGTTGGTCTTTGTAACCTGAGCTGATGCTAACAGCATTAGTCTGCTAACAGCTGTACACGAGTATGTACGCGTATGAGTGTACGTATATATATCTGTGTGTGTGTAATTTAGATGATATCAATATGAAAGATGATGATAAGATATGCGTGTCTATTTCTTAAAGTCTATTTTTTACGTCTAAGTTAAGGGGAACAATATTCTACACATTTGAAAAAGTAGGAGAGTTAGTGTTGTTATTGAAAGCCAATCATATATTTCATTATCATCTTAACATTCTAAGGTTTACTAAGAAAACTTTCCTCTCCACGTTTTCCCCACGTTAAGGTCTGCTCTACAACTGCTGCTCTCGATTATTCTTGCATCACAAAAGCTATTTGATTATTTATTTCACGTACTGCCTCGATTTTCGATGCTAAATTATTGTCGATAACAGAAAGCAAAAACAGAAAGTCTTCTAAACAGATTTTTTCTTGCCTTCTCTAGAACTCCTCCCGTTATCATTATTATTGTTATTCTATAATTATATTATATTATCTTCGCATCCTAATTGTTTAAAGTGTTCACTCATATATTTAAGATTTTTGAATGAATTTGTACTAGTATTACGAAAATAACAAAGATTGCGAAGAATACTACCTAATTGAACGGTAGTGATCGTTTTCCGATATAACGTGAAAGGTATGACGAAGACAGCAGACTTGACAGCTTGCAACGGAACGACAACGAATTCGCAGAAACCATCGACTACTACAATCAGTACAATAGCGATTAATGCTGGTGACAAAGCGACTATCGTCGTTGCTTTGTTGAAGGTTAATAATTTTATCGCTAAATAATTTGCTCGATTTTAATCTTTTTAGAATTGTTAATATTCGTTTCTCATAGTTACGCTGTTTCTGATGCTGCACTTCACTTTCCACCACTGCTATTTTCCAACTTGCATGAATTAAAACTCTTCTAAATTTTTTTTTTTTTGGGTTTTTGAAGTACGAATAATCTCATTTCCTATCCATCTACCATCGTTTTTAATGCTGTAGAACTGCCGATTAGTTGTAATGATGATAAAGATAGCTGGAATAATTTTTGGAGATATAAAATTAAAGCGTGATAAAGTGACGGGTCAGCGCCTTATTGAAAAATGAAATGAAGATGGAAGGGAAATTAGAATCTAAAGGAAAAATGATTTGAGCAAAATCTTTTTCTATTTCATTTTAAGCGATAATTAATTTAAGTAACGCAGAAGGAAAGAAATAATTTTGTCCGAACTGGATAGCTTTCTCATTATTATTAATTTAATTAGCTTTCTTGACTGTTAAATCCCGCTCAAACAAGGTATTTATTGATATTTTGTTAGTTTTCCGCACTTTTTCCCGCTTACGGCTTACAAAAAATTCATAAACAGCGGAATATTTGCATGCTTTTATTAAAATTATTGCCATACTTGAGTAATTGCACTGATTGCAACTTTAATCCAAAACTTCATTCTAACTGTGGACTTATAGAACACTTTCTTTACATGCTTACATTACAAATGACCTAAAATACAATAATAATTGCTTATTAATTCCAGTTTTAATAGTTTTCGGCACTGTTCACTGAAGACCTCTTTTGAAGCAAAATATAAAAAAACGAGCTAAATAAATCCCAAATAAAAAGGCTTCATAAATTTCGCCTAATTTTTATAAATTTAATTTATTTTAGAAACAAGAAGTCAAATAACTGACGGAATTAAGATATTCCTCGGAACTGATTTCGATATTTTCAAGCAATTCATAGTTAAAAATGCATTGAGTTTGCTTCATTCATCTCAGCTATATTTATCATTGCTATTTGATTGCTTACATATAAGAAAATAAATTAATAGAACGCCAAACTTTCAGAGTATTGGATATGCTTCCTTACGCATTGACGAAATGCGACCTCGGATGTTGGAACTTGGCGAGAATGCTGAGGAAAGTAGTGCACTATTGGCTATCCACGACGACCTCATGAAAAAACTTAAGGTACCACGAATTGCCCCTAATTACACCACGAATTGTGTCACGAACTTCGATTAATTATCTATTTTACACGTTTATTTTTTTAATTAATGTTAGGACTTAAAAGAAAGTATTGTGTATTAGTCGTTTTACGCTAAAATACATGCAATAAGGGAGTCATCTAATTGTCCGGACAGATTTTTCTATCTTCTTATTTTTTTGCCTCTACCATAATAGTTAGTTACGTTTCAATTTTCCATTTGCAGTCTAGTCTGAAATTAATGTAATAGAATGACAAAGAGAGTGAGAGGAAAAAATACATGTAAGCTATCATGCAAAACTCCATCTATTTCATCGAGAATTACTCAAAGAAGTTACTTTTAGAGTAAAGAAAATCAAGTAGAAGAGTTACTCGCACGTGCTGATCATTTAGTAACTCAACAGAAAGAACCAGACGTGTACGTGTATGAAGCGATGGCGGAAAATTTGGGTTCAGCATGGAAAGAACTTAATCGACAGCTTCTAATGCGTGGATTTTTACTTGCTGAAACTGTTCGGTTTCACCAACTTGCGAATCGTCATGAAAAAGTTACTTTTCATTACTAGTATCCATTTAAGAAACTTATCCTTAATCTTGTTCACAGTTCATAAACCAGTAATCTAAGTGGCATAACGTATTCTCAGTAACTTGGGGATTCTGTAAACTTCAATTGTTATTAAATATAATTATTAGATACAAGGTACACACATTGACAAGAATGAAATTGAGAGCGAAAATTCATTTATTAAAAAGGAAACCAAAAAAAAATGTTTTTTGCAGGTTAGTTTGGATGTACGGAATATTCTCCAACAAACGATTCATCGACCAAACTCGAGCGATCTAAATGATACTGTGCAACGTATTCAGCAACTTTTCAATGGTGCTTTTTCCAACTCCTTAATTTTTCAATCATTCTCTGAAAAATACTAAATTTTGAAAACTTCAAAATATGAAAAAATGTCATCAAAAATTTTTCAAAGTATAAATTCAAGTCACTTTACATTTACATTGTGCAAAACACCGCAGTAATGCCACGTATTGTTGTTTTTACAAATCTAGAACTGATCGACGTAACTGCGTCAGCCGTTGACAGCGGAGCTGACTTGATAACACATATCCGCGTGTTAGGCGCTATGGCAGATAATGTTGAAAGTGTTCAAGAAACGGCGGAAGCATGTTTACTGATCGAAAAAATTATGCTTAAAGTTTGCAATTTGCTATTATTATATTATATTTTACGATATAAATAACGCTTTTCGGTTTTGGAAAAGTAATTTTTTGTGACTGAAATTTGTCTGAGTAATCAAATATTCACTAAATACTTCTCAACAATAGTAATATGGTTGGTTTTGTTACTATTGTCAGGTATTTAGATAACTGCTTACATTCCGAATGAGATTATGCCCATTGTAGCTACTGAGATTCCGATATTATAGCGATTTATTTTTCTTGCTTAAATGTTACTGTGATAATTTTGTCATATTCATTTCACTGTTTATTCTTTGCCAGTTTTCTTCGGTTTTCAAAAATCTTTTTTCAGTATGTCAATGCACGCTTATCTTTAATACCAATCTATTGTAAGCATCAATCAGTCAATTCAAAAATAGTGAAAATTTCATGCTGAGAGAGTAACACTACCATCTTAATTAATTATTTTGATGATAATTAAGATGGTAGTGCTACTCTTACGTAATCACTTCATTATCAAAATAATTAATAACTAAATTTATGAATTTTTTTTACATTTATGAATAATTTAGTTATTAATTATTTTGATACTTGAGATGATTACATTAAGTGAAGAATTTAAAATGTTCTAATTTTAAGAAATAATAGTAGCTAAATTATTCATAAAGTTAATTTGCTCATTTGAAAATGAATTGATAGATGGCAGCTGAGTGGGAAGTGCTGGAAGAAACGTGGAAAAATGAACGATGCAAGTTAGAAATGCAAATTGACGAGAGTGGAACGATTCTAGCGCATATTGAAGAAATTGAAAGTTGGCTTCGAAACGGAAGAATACAACTTAACGATGCGCAAAATATCAACACGTTAATGCAACAAACTTTGGTGAGCTTTGCACTAATTAGTAAGACAGTTTGCCAATTAATTATTGAAGTGTACATTAATTGCCTCTTATTGTTTACACTACGAAATAAGTTGGGTCTTCTAATATTTGTCTTACGATTAATTAAAATTGAAGATTCTTTTCACTTAACAGATTCAATAAGAAATTCATTTGTTAATTGAGCTTTAAAAAGTGCTAAAATGAAAAATAACAACTCTAAAAGAACTTTGAAAATTTTAAAATGAATAAAATTGGTGTGAGTCGAAAACGCTTTCATCGCTAATAAATTATCTCCAACACTTTTATTTAGAAGGAACGCAAATCGCTCAGTGATATTATATCAATGATTGAACAGAGTAAGTCAAATGTGAATCTTCGTGGACGAACGAGAAAACTACAAAGCGATTTAGATCAGTTCATGCAAGAAATTAAGCAGAAGAAAGATGAAAATGATAAAATTATTGCTTGGACTGCAGCAGCAAATGCAGTAAGTCAAATACGTGTTCACTAATTTAAAAGGTGGAATGGAGTTTAGATGAAAGATTTATCATTTTTTCTATTTTTTCAACTTTCCGTACCTTTATTTAATATGGTTTTCAAAAACATAATTGCTACTGTTATTACAACATTTCCACCTGTCTTTTATAAATTCTAAGTACAATAGTTTACAAATTTTAATAATAATAGATATTAGTGAAGTATTTATTCCAAATTATTGCAGGTAATGTGCTTCTTTGTACTACTGCTACTGAAGTCACAATAGCTGAAATAATTTTCACTCTTTTTTTCAAGACTGAAATTAGTACAAATAGCAATAGTAAATATAGCAGTAGTACAAATATTTCGGATATCTGCGATACATCTTTTCAAAATTGCCCTCTGTTCAGTCTTCTATAAATTTAAGTAAATTATCGCTAGAAATAGCTGTATTGGTAAAGATAAGATATATAATCGAAATTCCTGCTTTTGTATGTATAGAATCCATTCAGTTTCCGTGAGTGATAATTTTTCGTGGAGATATGGTTTTCAGATGTTGAATCAGTTAGGAGCAATGGAAATGGACATGCGCAATGCAAATGCAGCAATGGCAAATGAACTTGCGCCTCTTGCAAGGCAAAAGGCGCAAACGGTAATAGAAGATGGTCAGAAACTTGCACATCTTGACCATCGAGTCAATCGATTTATCGCAGATATCCGAAATAAGTTAAAAGAGATTGAAGATTTAGCTTCAGAACGAATTGATGAAAGTAAAGGACTGCTCAAAGATCAAGTAGATATTATATGGATTCTTATCTTATTATCAGTAATATGTACAATTTAGACTAAAAGTTGCTAAGGGATTCATATATTACTTGTGCTACAAATACTTTAATCTACATTTCAGTTGTTTCGTTTTGAGAAATGGCTCACAAAAACAGAGCAAGATTTGACGACTTGCACTCGTCTTGGGTCTAATTTTAATGAAGCTAATCAGTTCCATCAAATACATAAAAGCATTGTTACTGAAATTATCGTAAGTTGTAGTTTATTTGTAAAAGTTAGAAAGTGAATAAAAACAATATATGTTCGATCAGTATTAGTTTAGATAACAGTCATTATTTTATGGTAGTAATTAAAGACTAAATTCAGGGATTATCAATTGTAAATGCAACCTTCTTTCCAGAGCAGGAATTCAGAACTCAACGCGCTGTGTAGCAAATTTCATGAATTGAACGAAACCGATCGTAAACGGCTAGAAAAACTCAAACATAGGTATGAGTCGCTAAAAGAAACTGTGGATACACGTCTTAACCTTTGCACTGCTTTCCAACAGGTAAAACTTCAGAAACATATCTATTTTGGAATCATTTTGATTTACTTCATCAAATTCTCTTCAAATTTGGGGATCGAACTTAGTAGTTTAAGCAATAACAAACATTGTTCATCTCTAAAGGCAAAGAATTTAAATGTAAGATGAAAGAAAAAGTCAAAACATCACTACCAAGCAGAAGCTCTAAAATTTTTGAGATGACAATAAATTTATGCTAATGTCTAATTTATTAATCTTACTAAAAAAGTGTTCTATTTTATTTCATTTCACTGATAGAATGAACAAATCTTATATTCTACGAGAAATTGTTGCTTCAGGTGCACAAGTTCGCCAAGGAGCTTGAAAGCTCGTTTGAAAGTTTAAGTGCTTTGATTAATAATAATTGTTCCTACATGAATGAGAAACTTCTTGTACAAATGAAAGAAGTATTTCGTATGATTGAAGAAACAATTAAGCAAGAAAGGCATCAAGGTTTGTCATTGAGATTCTTGCTTAGATATTATACGTCTGAGATCCTTATATGATCATAATGTACTTGGTAAAGTCTTATTTAATACTGCTAGAGTGATAGTTTTTCAGTAAAGAGAACTCGAAGATGGCAAAAACTTCGAGTTCCACTATTTTACTAATTCTAATTGGTTTTACCAATTCTAATTTTAATATTAAGTCAAATTTTGATGTCAATAAATGTCAGGGGAAAAGTTTATCGAGACAGCTCAATTAATGGCTTCTAAAGATCCAAAACTCAGTATCGAAGAATCAGTAAATTCAGTACGGAATGTATTAAATGAACATGAACAACGTCATATAAAAATGCAGGAGACTTGGCAACAATGGCAACAGAATCGAATGCAACAGCAGAAAGTCATTCGAATAGTTGAAGAAGTAAATTGCTTTACAAAAAAAGAAAAAGGATATACATTTATGTATATTTTTTAACAAGCGAATTGACTTTTACGCCTAAAACTTCAAGTTGTTTCTGTAAAGGTGCAAATGTGGCAAGAAGAAACAATTGAAATAATTCGTATGATCGAAAAAAAATTGAGTGAAGCAAGAATCGTAGAAGAACGGGAAGAAGTACGAAAAACTGTCGAAGAATTAAAGGAACGTTTCTTAGAGCAGAACAAACGAATGGAAGAAGTTGAACAAATTTTAGAAAAAACCAAAAGTAAGCACACTAAAAAATGCATTAATAGCGAATTTTTGTAAAAAGTGTGCTGAAATTTTACTTAACAAATATTGTAGATGAAGAAGCAGTTGGAAAAATATTGGCAACCAAAAAGCGACAGGCAGAAATTAAACGACGGATGGACGATATATGGAGAAGAATAGAGACTGAAAAAGAAATCATTATCCACGAAGAAACAATGTTTGTTTTTAGATGATTACAAATTTCGGTAGATGGGTAGATGAGGATCTATCCATCTACCGAAATTTATAATCATCTAAAAAAATTTGATTTTTGATGAGCTGATAAAATTTGATTTTTGATGAGTTGCACTAGAGAAGGAATAGTAAAGTAGAAAAGTCCGATTATCAAATTTTCAAGACTGATCAAATTTTGAATATATCATTATTAGAGGCGATCCTTTCGTATACAAAAGATTAGAGCTACTCGAAAAAAGAGTGAAATAAAACTTTGCAAAGATTAAAGAAAGTTGTTATTACCTACAGTAAATTATTTGAAATATGATGACACGGGCTTTGGTAAGAAGACGAAGTGTTTTAATTAAAGTAAATTAGCAGTATCATTTCATCTGGTTAGTTTTTCAATGTCAGCATCTTGAACTACTAATTTTCATCACGAAGTAATTTAGGAAGTTTACGAAGGCCCCAGAAATTCTAAGCCATTTACATGATGCTCAAGTTGACGAAGGGAGTCGATTTGAATTTTCAGCACGCATTGAAAGTGAGCCAATTTCGGATGTTCAATGGTTTAAGGTCAATTTTTTTCATAAAAGATCTATTATTATGCTTATCTATGACCTTTGTTAAACACATCTATTTATCAGGTCGATACTTTATCATTGATTTTTGTGGCAGTCTTTTCGATTTTCTTCATCAAACTGTTGCTAAGTCTGGAAATTAACTTATTTGTAATGAAGAGTAAATCGGAATCACGTTTAAGTTATTCAAGTTTGCAGCATTAAATTGAGTTCATCACTAAAATGTCGATTTTCATTTTGTCTTGTTTTTATTTTTAATTCAAAGTTATTTTAGTGAAAGCAGTTCAGTACTGAAATATTTGCTTTATAGGATGGTCGATGTGTGAAGGATAATATGGACTATCGTACGGCATTCATTAATGGAATCGCTACTCTGACGATCGATGAAACCTTCATTGAAGACACCGCTGTCTACACGGTGCGTGCAGAAAACAGCGCTGGTGTGGCAGAATCTTCCGCGAAACTTGTAGTAAAATGTAATTTTAAAAACTAATATGTAAAATTTAATCATCTGTAATATAATTGGTTTGCATGGGATGTTATCATCAACTGGGCTGCAAAATTACATAAATATCAGTTGCTTTTAATGTTCTCAAGTAGTAATATTAATTTTTTTAAACGACGGATTCAGTTTCATTTATACAAAATGCTTTTATTTTATTTTTAACTATAACTATTCGATTTTATAGTCTACTTGAGGATTGTGGAAGGATTTCCAAGAAAATCTATAAATTCTATCAAACAGACACACTGCCGATTCCTGTAGAAAAAAGCTATATATACAGTTTCTGAAGCTTTAAAATTTTAAGAATCTTGAAAACAAATAAGAAATGAAACATAAAAATTATGATACTTCAATGTAAGTATTTGAAGGCGAGCAAATTTAAATAGATGTCATTAAGGAATGCTAAATTTGAAAAAATTAAACGGATATTTGCAAAGAATTTTTGTTGTATTATATTATTTCGATAGAGGAAAAAGAATAGCGTCAAAATTTATAGCTCGAAGTGAGATGGAATCTCAGTTGGAGGAACAGTTCAAACCTCGCTTTGTGAGACAACTGCGTAATATCGGCATTACGGAGGGTGAAGATGTTTTGCTTGACTGCGTCATTGTTGCCGTACCTGAACCAAAGGTACTTTTTAATTTAAGTATCGGAATTTAAGAAAACTGCTAAAGATTTCTTATTAAACAAATATATTTGAGTCAAATGCAATGAATTATTTTGTACAGCCTTTCTTCATTGAGATGATGATATCATGTCAATTATTAGTACGACAATTATTAATCCAAATTATTTGTTCATTTTTTACTCAGTAATTGTGACTTATTTAGCTTGTTGTCATTCTTTCACTGCTTATATCAAACTATTCTAAGCTACTCCTTCTTTCATTTTTCGTTTTATTTAAAATTAGGTAATTTTTTATGTAAAATTTATGCTTCATAATATGTTTAACTTAAAAATGTTATTAATATTTCTGATTGCATATTACTTCTTATCCTTTTTTATGAGAAAAAAATGACTCGTTTCATTTTACGCGGCCTTAAATTTGGCTTTCTCTAGTGAATGTTAGATCGAATTTAATTGAAAAAAAACAAAACATGAAGATTAATTTAAGGGACCGAAATGTGTTTTTTGCTACAGATAGTTTGGTACAAAGACGGGATAGCAATTAAAGAATCGGAGCATATAGAACTTCGCTTTGAAGGCGATCACTGTTCTTTGATAATTAAGAATGCTAGTCTAAGTGATGCTGGACTTTATACCGTCAAAGCGAATAATGTAGTTGGAGAAGCGACAAACTTCTGTCGTCTATCTGTGAAACCAGTTGAAATTGCTCAAGAAGTTGTCGTACCAACTGGCATGCCTTCAAAATCTCCTGTTTTATTAGTTGCACCATCTTTCGATCCACCCCTTATCAACCAAATTGTTCAAAAAGGTTCTAAAGCAATCTTCGAGGTTCATTTTTTTCTTTCATAAAAATATTTCCGCGTGATAAATGGTAAATATAAAATAATAATCTATGTTGCATTTGAAATAAAAAAATCCAAAGTTAAGGTACGTGTTTTTGCTAAGCCATCAGTGATGGTGCATTGGAAGTTTAACGATAAACCACTGCATGAATCACGTGAAATACGCATAGAGAAGGAAATGAACGGATGGCACCGAGTTATCATTGAAAATGTTTACCCTGAGCATTCTGGAATGTATACGGTTATAGCTGAGGTATTGGAAGAATAATTTTGGTATAATAATGATGTTTATTTTTTGAATAAAAATCTCATGCTCGCAGATTTTGACTACAGAAGTGAAATTATTTCATTTTTACTAGTTTTGTTTGCAGAATGAAGCTGGTGAAGCGCGATCTGGTGCAACTCTTAATGTAAAATCTCTCGAAATACCTCTAGAAAAAAAGGATAGAGTCGTTATTCGAAACATGGTCAATCATTATATAAGATTATGTTTTATGATTCAGTTCAATTTTTGATTAATTATAAGCAAAAACTTCGAAATTGCTGAACAACTAGCAGTGGTTACCATTTCAGAGTGAGGGTTTCTGGAGTGATTCTGCGCTCATGTCATCACCAACTCCGCCACCCGTACCTAGGCATCGTTATTCAGAAACAGAAGAATTCATGGAAAAACATCTCACTGAATATGGTAATTTACGCTATTCATGTCCAAAGTGGCTGCTCATTAGATTATCAAATTTATAAACTGATATAGTTGCTATATGTTCTTGTCAAATATTCTTGTCAAAATTATTAAATTGTTATCATCGTTATAACGTAATTTTACAAAATAAGCACTCAGTTTATTGTATAGCAATTTGAATACAAAAATAAAAAACGTTCTAAGTCATTGCTTCTTATTTTACATGTAATTACCGATTTGTAAGATTGCTTAGAAGTAAATTTATGCTAACTTTCACTTTAACCAAACTTTTTCACGCTGTAATTCTAATGTTAATTTCAATCAAAATTTGTTTGTACAAACTTTCCAACTCTATCATTTCACAGCATGCAGTCCTACTGCCACTACACCGGAATTTATTCGACCATTTCAAAACGAATACGTAATCAGTGAAGGAAAAAAGTTCAAGATAGATTGCTTACTGATCGGTAATCCGAGGCCAAAGGTCCAGTGGTTTTTCAACGATCAAATTATTAATGTCAACTCGAAATTCTGTACGGTAAGTAACTAGCAGAATATTAAATGAAGTTGCAAAAAATTTTCTTGGGTTGAAATGTCAAAAATTTCGAGAACAAATCAAATAATTTTTTTGTCAAGTTTGATCTAGCCCCACAATGAATATATTGTTTGTTAATTGTTTCAGATCTCGAATTTCGGTGATACATATTCGATGATTTTGAATCCAGCCAGGCTAGATCATACTGGCGCTTACAAGATGACTGCAGAAAATATTCGTGGTAAAACAGAATCTGTGTTTACTGTTCGTGTGTTACAGCGATCCTTAAAACCAAGTTCAGTTGAGGTTAATACTGTTATGTATTAAAAACACTTTAATTAAATTATGAGCTTATTTCTTCACAAAATAAAAATATGGTAGAAAAAATTTACTGAAGGCAGATAATATTTTATTGAAACTGAATTGTTCTCATAGCGTGAAATAATAATATAATATGACAAGATATCTTCTATCTATCAAAGTCTGCCTTACAGTGTATTCTGAATTTTGTAGTTCTGTTTTTGTCACAAACTCAATTTTTTCTGGTCTAAGTTCTCAGTTCTGTAAATCTTTGTTTACAGCACATTCAGATTACAGAAGAATATGGATCTTATGAGTTTGAACAAATAGTGCCTGATGAACGATTTTCACTGCAGGTTTGATTCAGTATCAAATTCCATGCTTTTTTAGCAGTAAGTTACATTATGAAGTGTGTGTGTTTCAGTGACTTAATTAATTAATTGCGTGAAATGGTAATTAACTTTACAAAGATGACACAAGAGCAAAGGACATAAATGCAAAGTTCAAAATTCGAAAAGTCCTGATGCGTAGTATTTCTGAAGCTTATCATCTGATTACTTTTTATCGTAAATGATACGTTGCCAATGAGTTCAGAAAGACTTTCCAAGTCTAATAAGTACTAGACTTCCACTTTGAGCATATAATAAAGACTTTCCATAGTAAGTAATGAAGTGTGTATATTATAATATTGTGCCAATAGTATTTAAAATTAGCTGCCAAGAAGAGATTCATAGTAGATTACATGGGCTTTGAATTGAAAATTCAGGATGAAGAACAACGTCGCCTAGCAGCTAAACAACACCCGACAAGACTTCTCACTCCCCCTCCCGCTAAAAAGCAGCAATTGCTAACAACACATCATCAGAAGGTTGAGTTCTTTTTCGTTTAAAAATGCAAACAAAGTAATTCTGAAAACAAACTCAAATGACAGATGATGCATTTTTGTACTTCAACATCATCTTACATTATTCGATTCCCTCATAACAGTAACTTCACATCTTTACTACGATTATTTTGTTTGCTATCAAAATAGTAAATGTCTAGCGCTGCTATTAAATGACAATGACATTTGGTATATTAGAGAGAATGTCGACGTTAGTTATAACTTTGTTGTAATTATGTAAAGCTAAATTACTAATGTGAGGACCTTAAATAACTTAAGCCACTTTGTTGTGACTGTGACCTTTCGTACGCAGTGATTTAATATGAACAACGATACGATAAGGTTTTAACTAGACTTCATTCTGCCGACATATGTAATAAATTAAGTGCTAAATCTGCTATTACTCTGTTATTTTTTCTTCTATTTTCAATTCCAGAACTTATGCAGTTTCTAGGGGAAAATTTGCTAGGAGATCATCAATTTTCGGACTTGGGTTCATTCATAGCGTGGTCATTAATGAAAAATTTTCAAAATATTTTGTTAAAAAAAGAAAAATGAAAAGTGAATTAGCTAAATAATCGAAATTTTTTGCATATATTTCATGATGCAGTTGATATATGTTGCTATTCACTTTATTCTAACATTTTATACTAAAATTTAATTCCAACAGCAGTTATCAGACGAGTATGAAACAGAAGAAAGTCGAGTAATAGCTCGACCACCACATTTCATCCAAACACTGGTTTCTGCGGTAGCTACTTGCGGGGATAATGCCACATTTCAAGGCATTGTTACTGGTAAAAACTTTATTCATTCAATGTAATTATTGCTTTTAGGAATGCCTTAATAGCAAAGAAAAATTGTCTGCGACACATTTTTTGAAAATATATGCGTGAATGATGTTAATTGTTAAATCAAATTCAATGCAGAATCTTTATAAAATCAAAAGGACTGCAATTGTTGAGTGACCAGCAATAATTACATATCTTTCTACTTCATGCATAGTGAATGTTTGGGAATGCATGTTATTTCTAATTTATGCCCAAAGCTAGGCTAAATATGATTCAAATTACTGTTCATTGGCATTACTGATCTATAAAGTTAGATATTACAATGCTTGAATCATTAATGTTACTTATGTTAGAGCAGAAGTTCATCAGACAATTCATTACTTTCTAATTTTAGAATTTTTTTTTCAATGCTACAGCAATCCCGAAAAGTGTTTCTGAAAGAACCAAATGATTTTTATATTTTTTGTTTACAATTTCAGTTTATAAGTATAAAGCTTTCATCGCCTAAAATTTCCAAACAAGAAACTCTGAAGTTCAGAATGATTCTTACAATTTCATGGGAAGAGTTCTGCATTTGCTATCACTAAAAATATGGTAAATGTCTTCGTTTCAATTAAGTTTTCAAGACTCACTTTGCAGCAGGTTAACTTTTTCAGGATGGCCTACTCCAGAGGTTAGTTGGACGAAGAATGGTATTCCATTATCCAAGAGTACGAACCCTGATTTGACTTTCTCAAATATCGGTGGTCGTGTGTCATTAAGCTTCTTTGATGCAAAGCTTGAGCATGCTGGTAAATACATGTGTACTGCCAAGAATACTTCGGGTGTCGCTACTTCAAGTGCTCAACTTGTTGTGCGACGTATGTTTCTAATTTTTTCGCCGTCAAACTTGGGATATTTAGCAAATTAGTTTAGTTTTTTTACGTTTAAATTTTGGCATATCTTTTCAAAACATGCAAATTATTAAAAAGCAGCGAATTTATTTGAACTTTATTGAAATTATGTGTTCTTGTACTGCGTATCATTGTTCTGTTCGATTCATTTTGCTGAGAATTTTCAAATTTTACTTTATCGAATTTTATTTTCCGAATTAGCAAATGGAAAAAAGAGAATAACGTGTATTAATATGCAGACAAACTTCAATATTTGTCTGTCAATAATGAATTTGCTTCAGCTCGCACAATAGCGCCCGATTTTATACGTCGATTGATTAGCGAAGAAGTGGAAGAAGGTGATGAGTTAAAATGGTCAGTTCACGTGACTGGTGACCCTGTACCTAAAATAACCTGGTTGAGAGATGGTGTAATTATTCCGAACTGCAATGAAGTGCAGCTGATTGATGTCAGTTACACACTTATTTTTTATATTATATTGCAATTTATAAATTACAATAATAATTATGCATGCTCTATTCGCATAAGATTTGAAATTACTTAGATTTAGTGCATTTTGAGGCATTTGGCAGATCCACTTAGAACAATACATAAATAGTCAACAATTTACTGATTCTGCATTTTCAAGACATAAAACTTATATCAGGAAGGAAATGGCGTCCATTCGATAATTATTGTCAAAGTTGAACTAGCTGACAGTGGACAGTTTACTTGTCTTGCGGAAAATATCGCTGGTGAAGCGCGCAGTACGGCTGATTTAGTTGTTCGACCTGCTGGCTCCCAACCAGGCAGTTACTTTCACGTCACAAAAGTATTTTCGGCTTATTCTATTATTTTATTCTTCATAACATATACTGTTATCGAATTCAAGCATTTTTGTAAAATAGTTCGTAAATTTTCAGATTATAAAAGTGTTACCTTAAGTAGTTGGAAAATGAGACTAGGATAATTTTTGGAGCTGCAAAAAAAAACTGACCAGAATTGTAAAGAAATAGTCTGGGAAAATATGCACTATTCAAATTACATGCTGATTTATCTACAAGTGATGACTATGGCACACTATTTTTGTTCAAGATTTCCAAAGATCTAATTTAGATTCCATAAGTGTCGCCATATTCATTACTGAAGCTCGAAAATCACGCAGAAGTTGAAAATTAAACATACTGCATTAATCTGAGTTCAAAGTTTATCTGTATAATAATAATTAAACACGAGTAAAGAATTTTAAATAATGGGCATTGTAGGTCACGCAAGAAAAACAGATGAAAGGTGAGGAAGTGAATAGAAATGAAAGCTGCGCAATTGAAAATCCACGCTCGATGTCGGAGAGCAAATAAAATACTTCCTTTTCTAATGCCCAATTGATCATATTCACTGATCAGATCAAATCCTTTCAAAATTAAAGATTTGTCTGTCTTTCATACTACTTTGGTGCTGACAGAGTGAATATTCTAAATAGTGTTAAAACAATGATATTTTGCTTTTTTTTCTTGTTATCCTGCAATTTTGGAGTAATAATTGCAATGAATATTATATTAATTAACTATTTGTAGGTGATAGGTTACCTTATTTATCTTTTTTAACGATGAACAAGTATTTAAATCACATTGTGAAATTACAAGTTATATAAAATATGAGTTAATATAATAAAAGTATTGCGCTAAGAATCTGTATTCTTCAAATGAAATCTGAAGAATAGAATAATTTTGATGGATGAAAGTTTGAACGATTAATTTTGAGCTATTCCATATTTTGAAGATTCAGATTGCTTATTCCTGAGACGTGCATCAACAATGACAGAAATTACAAGGAATGAGAAGAAACTAATAAAAGTTGGCTAATCTAAAGATCTGTAAAATTTCTTTCTAGTAGGATGCGACTGTCTTCGGAAAGTGTATCCAACCATCATTGAAACAGATGACACGCAAAGAACGATTCCGGAAAAGAGTGTCATGCGATTCTCGAAACTTTCGGCTAGCGTTCGACGTCGTGTGCGTTCACAAATGTATACTAAATAAAGCTATATCCGAAAGGGAACAATTCAAAAGCAAATTGCTCATAGTTCTTGTAGGTGAAGTGGAAATAAGTCTCAAAGCAAACATACAACTAGGATATCCGCCTTTGACGTAGTATGGTTGTGCACTGATTTCAGGACTCAGTTCCATTATGTAGTCTTTGAAGTGATCGTTCGATAAGCTTATATTGAGCTTATCACGACAAATAAATTTCTGCTTCAATGGAGCGCTTATTACTACTTTGTTCGATGAAAACTTCACTGACTGATCTTCAAGAAAAACTTCTAATGTTTTAAATTCAACCAGAATTCAAGACTTTGCAGGAAATAATCGTGAAATAGCAGTGGTTTTTCTACCTCATGCAAAGCCACTTTCAATTAACTAACTAACTTGCATAAAATTCTGAATATACGACGATATTAAGCTTCCAGCGAAGTTCTTCAAGTTGATTCACAAGATTTCTAACGTAACCCTGAAATGAGCAATAATATTACCTCAGCATTTGCTTTCTAATAGAAAAGTGAAACCACTAAATTCGTTCCTTCTTCGGGCCCCTCCATCTGTTGAATTACTAAATATTGCTCACCGTTCCAAAATAAAATGTGATCCGTTTTTTACGTCCTTGCTTTTTCCAGCTTGCGCTAAACATCACTTTATTATGCTTTGTATCATTTCCAGCACAATTTCCACTCAATTTCACTTTTGGTGAGGTGAAATCGGGTACCTGAATATGCAGTTCAATCCCAGTAATGAAGTGATTCTCAAAAGTATTGCCATTTTTATGAAACCAATAGATCACTCAGAGCTTAATTTTAATGCTCTTTTGGAAATTTTAGTGCTTGGAAAGCGAACAAACTTCTTCACAATTGTTTTTGTTTAAAACTTGAAATACAAAACAAATTAGGCTTATAGCATACCTCAGTCGCAACATTACTTCCGTTTAAATTTAGATTCAACAAATGCGCAGAAAATTTTAATAAGAGACATGGCAGACCATATTCATTTTTAAGACCGAATTCGCCACTTTCAGCGATTTTCAACGGGAAGTAATGATCACAGCGAACGCTTACTACGAAGTTGTTCAAAAGTTAGTAGGAGAAATTGTAAAAATAATCCTCTTGTATGTAAAATGTTTTGGCAATATCAAATAAACTGACTGAAGTATTTCGTTGCGAATTAATTCAAAAAATAAAATGGATGTAAATTAATTAGTAAATTGCAATGATTGAATAAGATAAAAATAATGAAAAATGCAAATACTGTCGGAATAGTTAGCAAATTCTAATATAAGCAAACCTATGTAAAGTATCAAAATGGTTGCCATTGACATGCATGACATTTCTTCTGAAGAAAGGGAAAGTGGAAGCAGAAGAGCCCAAGTAAAAATTGAAGAATGAGGCAGAAACGAACAACTAATCCTTAGGCATGTTGGCCCAGAGAAAAGAAATGCCTCTTAAGGTACTTGAAGAACTCATTAAAAGCACTTTGCTGGATTTCTGATCAAAATATGCTCAAAATAGTTAATTCCAAGTTTATTTTGATCAGAATCGATGTGCAACTTTTTATTATTTCTTTTCAGCACCACTGAGTGTTACAAACCTTTGTTTGTGGTATACAACATTCAAAATGATAGTTGTCTTTTGATGGAATACTACCGTCAAATACTTTGTAGGTACATGAGTTTAAGTCTTGATATTCATATGTGTACAGCATATGCTCTTCGAAGAAACAAACGCCCTACATTTCCTTTGAGCTACTTAATTTATTTGGTGTATTGGTGCTTTACCACATTGATAAATTGTTTGCTGTGGCACAAAACTGTAAAAGCAGTAATTATTGTAAGATTTTACCAGTTTTCAAAAACTCATTAAACTTCATTTTCTACTGCAATTACAATAAAATCATACCTAATTAGCTGCAGTTTATTCTTTATTAAATAGAATCATAGAGATAAATTATAGCATTACAATGGAATGCTTTCATTGCATTCTCAAAAGATGTATTAGTCTCACACGAAACGCTTGCTGGATGTAGTCAGTGAAGCAAACACACATTACGTACCACTTCTTACTGAAGGAATCACTGACAATGAATCACTTTCATCACTTTCGAAGTCTACATCATTTTCATCATATGTGAGTTTCGCTTCGTTTTCAGGCTGTAATTCATTTAGCCTAATTGACTTTCATCTCTCTTTCGTATTGCAAATGAGAAAAAATAGTACGAACTTTCTGAGCTTCACAATCTTGCAGTCATGACTTTAAACTATTTACATTTTTAAACTAGTATTAAAAATTTGACACATTTGTTCAACAACGCGTTTTCTCTTTTCATACTCATAATCAAACTTAATTCTTTGCAAAAAAACGTTATCATCCATACACTAAAAATATATCTTTGTGGTAAATAAATGATAAACAACAAACGAGATTTCTAAGTCAATAGTCTGCTTGAAGGATATTTCTTGAACAGTATCAATTTTCATGGATTTTCTACTTTCTAGTGATGTGATGAAAATTATTTCGGTCCTCCCAATTTATCAATCTATGTTATTCCTCAAAATTGTAATTACCGTATTAAATTTTTCAGTCACTTACGGTAACATTGAAACTTTGCATAGATACCATTTTATTCACATCACTGCTCGCAAGTCCAATATCTGTGAGTAATTCTGCCACAGCCCGCTTCATCATCTCCTTAAAAATTTAATCTTAATTTTGTCATTCCAGTGGACAGTGGAAAATTTGAGGAATATCATTCTTCGCTTTGTGTGTCAAATAAGACACACAGCAAATAAACTTGAAAAATTGACAAAAAATGTGATTAGCGTCGAAAATAAAATTTACAACTGTGAGTGCTTTGTTTTCTGCCACACTTTTCGAAATGCAGTCTCGTATATCGCTGAAATAAATACACTTTTTGCAGTGAGTCATATCTTCTGATCAAGTTGAAATATTTTTCTTAATACTTGACCCATTAATTGTAGTCAAAAATTATCGGTATTACTTAGTATCATTTCTGTACTGATGCAGTAAATTTCTGCCTTACCTATCTGTGTAAACACTGCGCCGAATAATCTCACTCAAGACCGCATCTTTGAATTGATCAATCTTTTCCACCTCATTGTCATAATTGCCATTTTTCAATGGACTACTTGGCTTAAAATAACTGAATGTTTTTCACTATGCTTCGATGTATTGCTTATTTACAAAGAATATGGACGATCTTTGCATAATTTGTCAGAATGTTGAAGAGTGACTTTAAGAATGTCTGAAATGCAATGAAACAGTGACAAAACAAAATGAAAAACCAAATTAGTAATGCAAAAATTGCTTAGGCTCCTTAAAAGTTAATGGTGCAGAAGAAGCATTTTTTGCATTACCGATCAGTTTGGATTAGTTTCAGAAATCTAAGCACTGCAATGAAAGTAATGTGAAAATCAATACTACTAAAAATTTACTATATTTATCTTACCGGGCTATCACTCAGAACACCATATCTCATCAACAACATTCAACGTATCCGATTTGTCATGACAAAATCAAAAAATTGTGAAGATTTTGAATATTTCGCTTGGTTGCTGGTTATGTTTGCGGCTTGAAGTGTGTTACTGTTACTTATGTAAAATGCATCTGACAAATAATCTCATTTTCTCTACTTTGCTCAAGAAGCATCAATCGGTGGTGGCTGTTTCAAGCATCTGTTATTTGTTAGTAAACTGAGTGTCCGCAATGCGTAATTATTAAATTTTCAATGATAATTATAGCAGTTATGCTAACAGAAATTAACTAGTCCTAGTAATGGTGTTACCATCAGTAATGACAGCAATTTCTTCATTGAACAATCATAAGAAGTTTGGTCATAATTTTGTGAGGATGTGATGAACTGGCATAATACTGCGAGGTAAAACGTATAGTTGCTCGCTCTATCAATACAGTTAAGAATTGAAGGATGGACATTTGCATCTTTTCTTAGCTTCTAAATTGGTCTGCCACAGCAAAATTTGTTCTTCCATTGAGATGAAATTTGATTTATGGCTGAGACGAATGGCACGTAAATCACAATGACTCCCAAATGCTACTACAGTAACTCATTGTGTGCAAGCAGTCATTATATGTAGACATCTCTTGTGCTCAGTTGGGAGTGGGTAGCGTATTTTCGATTATCAATTGTGTATTGAGAGTTTTAGTTTTTAGAAACAGTCAATCCAAATATTTTAAAAATCAAGAGGTTTGCTTAATTGTTCTGAATATATTCAAGCTTCATCAGATTCCCTCAGAGTTTAAGAAGGCAAAATGTGTATTGTGTTCTTCTTTCTCATTACTTCTGCTATTATTTTTAATTATTCAAACTCCCTCTTAACATATATTAATAAATATATATTTAATGTTGACTACTACCTTTTCTCAATTGAAAAAGTTATTTTAGTTTGATTTCTTAGTGAATCTTTCCCAAACTTTTCAGTTTCATGGTGTCGTAGTTACTAAATCTTTCCGTACTATTAAAGTTTGTAATGACTTCTGAGACCAACAATTTCCGAAGCTCTTAATGTAAAATATTTCGTTCTTACACAATCTGCATGGCATAAATAAATTGAATAGTGGTAGTAAATACCTTCAACTATCTTACCTCATCGGAATTAGATCGTTTTGAATCTGATGACTGAGATCTTTGTGCAAATGGCAAGTAATGATAACCTGAAGTACGCAGAATGTGGAACAAAAAAACGAAGGGAAAATTAAACACATTTTCTGCAGCAGACAGAAGTCAAGGTTAATTCAAAAAATTCGGTGCTTGCTACTGAAGGAAAAAAAAAAGACTTCAAATTCCGTCTCAAGTCTCCAGTTTTTTTTTATTAACACGTATTCCAAATGACAACTTATTTATTCTCTCATTGTGAGTACTCTTTGGTCAATACTGCAATCGCTTGATGAAAAAAAGTGTAAAATGGATAAATCGAAGAGAATACTAACTTTTGGGCGAAGAATAAAATGATTTTGGTGTTGAAGTATCGATCCGAGAATGTGCTGAGTTGGCTTTATAACGACGGTTGGGTATTCTAAGGCTTCTCGTACTGTGGTCATTCATGTCTGGAATTCGCCTTGTCATGATAGTAGTGCTAGCGTAAATGTAATGAGAGTTATTGATACTAGAGTATACCTTTGATCACTTTAAAGGAAATGGT